AGCCTAGTCCATTGTCCAAATCTCGAGATTTGAGGGCTCCAAGTACTGCTGTTTGATCATATTGGCACTGTGTTTTGATTGATGAATTGAATGGTTTTCGGATTGATGCATGACAGCTTGATTGTGACTAGGACAACCTATGATGAGGACTAAGACGTGGAGTAGAGTTGTGTAGGGGTTCAGTTTTTCAACTGTTTGCTTACCAACTGTGACTTGGATTGATTACTTGTTCTTGACAGTCTCTTATGCATCTAGTTCAGGGTATCAGAATGTGAGATAGAGCATATAGGTAGCCATGTGAGATTTGAGCCTGCTCGTTTCTTTCTTGTGCGATAGATCCCTCTTCCATGATGTGTAGCATTCACGTTGTCACTAGCTAAGATGATGGGGGCATAGGATTAGCCCACGACCAAATTTGACTGTCCTGATGTGTCATATCCCCTAGTCAGCCATTTTGAGCCGTGTGTTATCCTTTCTTTTGGTCTGAAATGAAAAAAATCACCCTGTTTGCATCTTTTAGAAGGTTCCACAGAGTGGGTTTTACATGTTCTCTGCTGTTTCTGCTAAATTTAATGTGAGTGTTGGAGGTAGTGCTTAAAAGTTGGGCTGGGCAGGTGTTTGAAATATATGCAGAAGTGGTGGCTCTCTTAAGAAATGAAAAGGAAATGAAAGAAAAACAAAGAAAAATTGGAAGCAAAAGAGAGCCACTACCAAAAATATGAATAATGCCCAGTAAGTAGTGTTTCTTAGCAGTCTGGCTTGGAAATGCTGACATTTATACCTCCTTCGCTCTTGTGCTCTTGAGATATTGAGTAATGCAGAATAGCAGAAAGGAAATACCGGTTTGTTCGACTGTGATTGTTTGGGTTTGGAAATGTGGAACCTTGTGCTATGAATACTTCCACCACCTAAAAGGCCTTTTCCCCATGTCCAAGACCCTAGCCAGTCATTTGAACCTGTGTCTAAGACCTCCTGATTAGTTAGTGGTGACACCCCATATGTGAACTCTAGCGTTTAGAGGCTGCCATCATGGTGAAGAGATGTTAGGGATTGAGAGAAATAACATGCGCATTTTTCGCATCAAATTGTCCTAACCCCACTGGTCGAGAGTGAGTGATTCATTTTCATATTCTATATACTCTTGTACCCCGGTGAGGACCTAGATTGCTCGGTCTCTATTCTGATGTCTTGAGTTGGATGCATGAGTTGACTGTTTTGAGTAAGTGGTTGAGTCAAGTCTAGGTTGGTTGGTGAACAGAAGGGAGACTCTTCCTTTACTCGATTTTGCTGCACTCGAATGTCCTTTGTGGTGGTTGTCCAGGTTGCTGTTGAAGTTGGTCATGTATTGATGTTTGAAAACCAGCCGAAAGTTTTCAGCAGCCGACGGTCATGGATCCGACGGCCACGACGAGGGCGAGCCGAAGGTTTTCAGCAGCCGGGACTAGGCTGGGCCGAAGGATTCCATCAGCTTGGACGAGGTCGAGCAGAAGGAGCTCGGCCTTGTCGTGGCCGGCGAAACCCACCGTCCTAGCATCGCTCACGCCGAAATACATATTCCAGGAGGGCGAGACCAGGTAAGGCCGAGGCGACTCATCCTTGTCAGAGTTGAGAAATCCTTTCGGCTCAACTTCGCTGGCCCAGGAATGGATTTTTCCGGCGACGTGGGTGTGGTGGCCGGCGACGAGTACTTGATTTGGAGGATGACGTCTAGAGATGGCAATGGCTCGGGTTTGGGGCGGATTGTACTAAACCCACCTGATAGACCGTTAATTACACATGTTTTCACCCCTGTTCTTACACCGTTTGAGATGTGGTTTCTCGTGTTTTTGGCCGATTTCACGCTAGGTTGTGTTTGTTTGTGATATTTCAGGTCCTAGTACGTGAATGGAGGATTGGGAGCGAGTTTGGGGTCGATTGGACGAAGATCGGGCGCGAGGCAAGTCAAAAAGGAGGCCACACGGGCACACCCACAACTCACACGGCCGTGCAAGTGACCACTTTGGCCGTGTGAGATTGTGCGAGAGCAAACACGGCTTGCCCTGATATCCACACGGCCGTGTGAAGGAGTTTTCTGGCCGTGTGAGATTGTGCGAGAGCAAACACGGGCAGGATGGAAATCACACACGGCCGTGCGACCCTGGCCGTGTGGGAAGCCTGAAGATCGAACTAATTGGAACGCAACGTTCTGACTCACACGGGCAACTGGGTATGCCACACGGCCGTGTGGCCCAGCCCGTGTGAGTCGGGAATTCCTGGTTTTAACCCAATTTCGGGCTGCAAGAGAGAGGATCGGATTTTTGAGCAAAAACAAAGCCCTAGAGAGAGAAAGGACGAAGAACACATCCTAGAAGCTATCTTGGAGCTGGGTTTCATCAAATCAAGCTTGGAGATCGTCATAGGAGTGAAAATCATCATCCCAGAGCAGATTCTTCCCATAATTATGAGTATGACTGCTTTGTATCTTGTTTTCCTCTCTCTCTCTATGGAGTAGAACCCCTCTCTCACTTGGGGATGAAGAACCCTAGTTCTATGTGTTAGGGATTGATTGTAATGACTTGGGATGATATTACTGTTTGATTTTAATCGAATGATGCATGTTTATTGAGTCAATTGAAGTCTGATCAACTTTTCCTGATTCCTGCTGCAATCTGAGATAGATAGAATCTGATTAGGTTGCTAGAGTCTCATCATTCGGTAGTAAGAGATTGGCTATACGAGAGTTAGCCAGTGTACTGCTTTGTACTGGAATCTAATTCCAGTAGTGGAGTTCTGTTCTTACTGCTTCAGCTTTCTATCTCGGTGAAGACTAGTCGTCTGCCGGGTAGATAGACTGAGAGGGCTTGCAGCTTAAGATATTCCAAGCTACTATCGGATCTTCCGCAGTATAATCAACAGTAAATCAACCCAGGGAAATACAATTGAAACCTAACTAAGGAGCAAGGGGGACTCATTCCCGAGTGACTCTTACCTGCTTGAGAAAACCGTATCAATTCCTGCTTTCTTTCTGCTTTTGCTTTTAAACAACAATCACTTACTTTAGTTGGCTAGATAATAGAGAATCACGGAGTAAGCAGTAGATCTAGACCCCGGGTTGATAATATAACTTGCCTGTTACTGCATTCCCGGTCTGCGATTACACTTGGTCGCAGATTGGTGTTGTGTTTTGGCGTGTCACCACCCCATACCCATTTTAATTTATCAAATCCATACCCTCTCCATCCCCATGCGGGGGTGATTTTGCATCCCCATCCCCATCCCCGCGGATTTTGGATACCCGAGGGTAATCCCCGCCCCGTACATCTGATTATGATTATAACTAAATTAACACACTTGAATTCAACAAAACATATAACTACTGGGTTGAAACATCAAACCTAATCAATAATGAACCTAATAAAGAACCACTGATAATCTTAATTAGATATTTAGATTTTAGATCATTCAATTCCTACGAAGTTCCATAAACAAAGTACCAATAAATAATCCAACACCAGATTATTCATCTACAAAACACCTACTAAACTATAAAAATCTACACATGAAGGAAATACGTATGAGCCGAATGTTATTACCACTACTACACTGTTGAACGGACGATGAGCAAAAGAACCGACGAACTGAAGGAAGGCAACAAAGGGTCAAAGAGGGGTGGTGTTCTGGTGGAGATGCTATTGAAGAGGGTAGGAGCGCCGGCGAATAAGGACGTGAGAGAGGAGTTTTAAGTGTTGCCTTGTCGAGTGAAGGGAGGGAAAACTTGACGGCTGAAGACTTGAAGAGAATAGCTAGGGCTAGAGTTAGAGACGCGTAAGGAAATTAGGGTGGCTTATATGAAATTAAACATTTAGTACTTATTTGTTTTACAATTACAATAATCCTTCGGCTTTATTGGTGGATTACGTTATACGAAATAAGTAATGGCGGGGTGGATATGAGTATGGGTATGGGGCGGGGCACTCAAATCCATGCCCGCCCCATCCCCACGAACTTCTTTGCGGGTATTACCCGTATCCACCCCATACCCGGTCAACGAGGGAAATAATTGGCATCCCTAATGACGTTTTGTGTGAAATGTGATTTGATTTGTTGAAAACTTGGATTATAGACTTTTAGTAGCAAATTTGAATTTTGAATTTTTTGTTTTGGTGACAAATAGTAGTCGTGTTGGCGGCAAATAGCCGTCCACTAATATTTTTGCTATAGTAAGTTATTTACGTAATCCCAAAATTTATCACTTTGCCATATGGTGCAATGTGATTATTATTCAAATTAATTGAAATCAAAATCAAAGTGACGTACTTAAGTAGTAAATGAGATCCCTATTATGGCGATGGTTATCTTACATTTCATCCTGAACCTGAAGTGGCATGAACTCCCAAGTTTCTTACACAACATCAAAGTTGTACAAATATAAGAAATGCAGTTCTGGTTTTCTTCACACTATCGGACAAGTTGAAAGGAAAGCTATAGAGTAAACTCATAAGTTTTCTTAACATTCAAAGCATAGCATACCCTGGATAGACCAGGGAGCAACATAAATTCAGTTTCACAATCCAAAGCCACAAACAAATTACATAACCAGGAAAGTTTTCAGAAACAAACCACACCGATTCAGAGCATTACAAGCCAATTACAAATTGAAGTTCAGAACCAAACCGAATGTCACGTTCCTTATTCGATCGATAGAAAGACACACCGAGTTACATTGGTTTAGCTTCTTTTCATTTTCATGAACTAAAACCAAACCATAATATATTACAGTGCACCAGTGGCCTCCAAAACAGTCTTGATCATCTCATGAACAGTTCATAAGAGTAAAACTGGTAATGATAAGCCACTTTGATGCACGTGAGCCAAGAATGATTTGCCTAGCAACCAAAATATCCAAAGCTATATGAAGCTTCTCCGTATTAAGGCTGCAGGAAGGGGTGGGGACTTGGAAAGCAGGAACTTGAGCACTGCAAAAACCAAATCCCCCTTGAGGCGAACCCCTCACTTTGTTGTCAGACTTTAAGGTTGCTGCTGCAGTTGTCAACTACAGCAGCAACCCATTTGCTGGGCATCACGAAGCCATGCCCACCAGTGTTCATCATGCCAGGGAAAGAGTGGAATGGTGGTGGTGTCTTGATCTGGAAGCAACCCACCATATCTTCTCTAGAGAACATGCTGGTTACTTCAGATGATGACCGCCCTGAAAGATTCAGTCCACCTCCAGCACCATTTCTTTCCTTTGAGGAGTTTGCTGACCCACTGTCAGACTGCACGCCTCCTGAACTCTGGGAACCAGCCGGCTTAGACAGCTGGAAGTTGTTTCCTTGATCTTTTGCCATTTTGTCGATCTCCTGTTTGGTCAAGAAACGCCCACCGCTTCCCCTTGGTCGACGCATTGCATGGAGATGGCGTGAGTGGTGCATGTATTGCTGCACCCATATAGACGAGAATTTTTAAATGACGCAGCACTAAAATAAAGTACAAGAACTTTTAACTGAAATCATAATGCAGTTAAGAGCTTGAGCATAGTTAGTCTATTAGGAAGCTTAAGCATCTGACACAGATATTACGTGGGGTTAGGTTGACTCAAACACAAACAGTCGTATGAATACAAGTATCATGCTTTAGAAATAGATGCAGTTGCTGAATAGGACTACCCTACCTTGCGAGCTCTGCTTGCTTTATTCTCCAGTTCAGCTTTTGCACGAGATTTGCGACGCCTGAGGATTCCATGATATTGCTTAGCATTAACATAAATTGGTCCTTCATCTGTGCTCATGTCCATTGGCAGCATAATCCGTCCCTATAAAATGAACATCAGAAGTTCAGGAGACAGTGTTTACCCAGATTCCTACCCGCATCAAAATTCCTCACTATAGATGACAAAAGTTGGCATTTGGCACTAAGTAAATGACAAAAAGTAAGACCATGGCAGGCCATATGTTTTGATGCAGGCTGTTGATATTCAGTACATTGCCAACTGTTGGGACATTCACTGAATGGCAACTAGGAAACAAGTGTTTGTTAGTGAACATAAAGATTCAAAGCGCTCCAAGTTTTTGGGGAGGAGGAAAAAGAGAAGAAGAAACTGTCGCCACCAACCAGATACCATATCGTACCAATCATATGGCAATAAGTCTAATGAAAAAAAAAAAAAACAATTCTTATTTGCCAATACTTAGTGATCATGAATATGATGGAAGATTACAAACCGGAACTTGTGGTCCATATGCTGAGAAGATGCCATAATATTGATCCACAGGAGGATGCTTTGCACAGATCTGAAGTTACATTTCAAAAAACAAGGCAAGTAAATAGCCGTCAGCATATGTAGGAAACGTTATGACTAAGAGCGAATTGTGAAATCTTACCATTGGCTGACCATATCCAATGTCAAACTGAGCAGCCAGGGTTGCTTGAACAGAGAAGAATGACTGAGCAGGCAGAGACTTCTGCTCCTCATTGATGGATTTTCCATCGCCTGGAGAACCTGGTATTAAGAAGAAAAAAAGTGCTTATAGATTTAAATATCTATGGTTCGAAGCCATTATGAAACAGGGATGCAGCTGATTTATGACCAAGTTATCACGGTTTTAAAAGCACAAGGGAGGAAAAACATGAACCCTGTGAATAGGATTTGACAAGTTCTCAACTGAAAGTATAGGTGTCAAGAATTTTACTAAGTCATTGAATATCCGTTTTAACCAAGCTCAAAAGGGTTATAGGCATGGATCTCTCCTTGAAAGCTTTCCATCTCAGTCTCAGATTTCTCAGATGAGGTTTCTTCATTATCTGACTCACTTCTTAGTTGAGTTGCTTGATGAGCCTATTCAAAGCCAACCTCTGTCCAATCTCTCTGTTAATCTACCGATCTATCTACTAACTCTTAAGGATACCATTCCCTTAAAGGTCGGCGAACTTTCCATACAGTAACATGCAGGACGGTATATCTAGCTCGCAAATGCATAGAGAACATTCACTTACATATCGAAATCTTGCCAATGTCAAGAGCCTTGATACTACCCTGACTTACTCCTATTTATGGAATCACCAGAATCAGCAAGAAAAGTAAATATTTCCTTTCCAGGCATGAACTCAAATCATGAGCTTGTTTTTTCTAAAAAAACTACCATAAGATTTGTTGCAGAAGCACCAAATACTACCACCTACAATGAATAATAAGTCTACTTGTCTGCCCCAGCTGAAACTCACTATTGAGCAACCCTCAATTAGTTGATCTTCCCACGAAATAGTTTACCATTATCAGGAATCAAGCTGTCCTTCATACTTTAATAACATCCAGCTGCTATGCGAATTTGAAACATTTCTTCATGTTCAGAGACAGAACGGATGAAAATGGTAGCCAAGAATATAGAGGCACAGTTGCTGGGATGGGGATTGGGATTGGGATTACCTGGGAAGATATTGAACTCCGTAGGAATCTCCTTATCCAGACCACCTTGACCTTGGTCAGTGGCAGTGACCACCTGGTCTCCAGCCGTAGGTTGTTGGTCCACAGACATAGTCTTCAATTGGGAATCCACGTAAGCAGTATGAGATCCCAATACATTCCACCAGGAGGGCATCGATGGCGCAGCAGCCGAGAGGTGCCCAACTGGGTTTTGAGCTATCCCTTCATGTTCCTTGAAATACAGTGTCTTCATACCCATAAGAATTCCTCCCTTCCAATCTCTCGGTCTCTGACAGACCCAAAAGAAACCAGAAACAGAAGAAAAGGAAACTGGGTAAGAAAATTACCGACTTCCCCCAAAAATTACATACCCGGACTCCAGATGTCTCCCTATCATATGGCTCCAACAACCACAGGAAACGGGGAAACCGAAGGTAAAAAAACAATAAAGCGAAAGGAACAAAAGGAGATGTGCTACCACACTTTGAAACAATCGGAGACTAGATAAAGCCGGCCAAATGAAATTAAATACAGATGGACATGAATTGTCTTCCAACTATACCCCAACCACCATCTGCTGAACAAGAAACAGAAACCAAGAAGGAAATTGAAAGCGACAGAATTGAAAAGAGAGAAGGGAAGAAGGGAAGAGGGATCGTCATGAAATCATACTTGAAAAATCACCCAATTGACGAATAAGCAACAACCCATGTCAGAAACAGGAAATTAACATAAGGGTGGCCGAAGGAACCACGAAGAAAGAAAACAAGGAAACAAGTGAGCTACTTGCTACTCGAAGTTGAAGTATGCAGAGAATCACAAAAAGGAAGAGTTAAGCTTAAAAAAGCAGTCAAGGGTTTACTCACAAAAGAAATATTGGAGCAGCAGCCAAGCTGGGTGAGAATCCTAGCAACAGAGGAACCCCATCAGTTAGGAGCCATGTCGGCACAAATTCGTGCAAGATAACAGAAACCGGTAGGCGTTGGATTGAGAGAGAGAGAAGAAGAAGAAGAAGAAGAAGAAGAAGAGAGGGGGAAGAAAAGGAAGGGAAGAGCAATAAATGCTTACAAAGGTGTGTGATGAAACAATCAGCAGCCCAGTGGTGGCCAATTAGCTTGAGCTTTCATGGGAGATACAGATACTTCTGGTTTTGGGTTTCTTTTGTAGGATCAATTCCTGTACTGTTGTGTGCTCAATAAAATGAAAACGAAAAGCAGATTTTCTTTTCTTTTCCCCCTCCCTGTTGCTTTCCTTTTTCTCCCTTTCTTTGGAGCAATTATTTGAGCGGTTTTATAATTTTATACCAGCAAAGTTGGTGAGTGGCCACGCCCCAATTCCACTGTTTTGTTGTTTGCCTGCCTTGTTTCGTGGTGGTCAGCAACAACTATTATTTTCACTCCTATGGATTCCATTATAAGAAAAAGTATTTTAGGTTTCACTCAAATAATTTGCTTTGATGAGCGATATAGTTTTATATGACCGAGATGGATTTCAAACGCAATGTCAAGTAAGTTTAGCTGGATAATTAAACATTTCTATGCAATAACAAAGCGAATATTAGCAAATATTTTCTTGTAATATTGACAACTCTCAGGTAAGCTTGTGCAGGGTGCAGACATCGTCTGATTGCATGAGATGATGGAATTGCGATGCTCAGTTATCTATATTATAGGATGATTTTATGAACAATGCCACCCGTCTTCAATCCAGTAGTTAAGATCGTCTTCTTTGTGATTGAACGACAATATCAAGATGCGTCGACTGCGTCTTACATGACAACGAGACTCGCTCGTGCCGATCTATAATAATTATGTTATTAATTTTTGGGAGGTGATTTTTTACCGTCCTTAACCAACAATCGGAGAGGGATCGCAAGTAGGAAGGCCATCATGATTTTTTTTTTCAATGAAAAGGATATTGCATTTATTTATTATGTGAAATAACTAGAGGAGCAAAGAGCACTAAAAAGTGGCTTGTACTTAGTTAAATAGAACAATTGTGGTTTGTAAAAGGATGGACTTGGAAGTGGATGGAATTGAAATGAGAAAGACTGCATAGAACTGCGGGAAAGGAAGAACATTTTTTGGTTGAATTGAAATATGAAGTCTCATATTTTCAAATTCGCCATTATTTTGGGACTAAACAAAAGTGATATTTGTAAAAATTTATTGATCGTGCTTGGTATTTTAAAGTTCACAAAACTTAATTGAGCAGTTAATACTCAATATTGCAATGAATGTTTGGAATTGGGAAATTTTATTTTTCTCCATAAGTCATGTATTGGATTCAAATTCTCCATCATAGTGTTACGTATTTCCAATGTTGGCCTCTTGCATTTGAATTAGTTGATGAATCAATGTAATGAAATCGTGTTAGTTTCATAATTGATTCTATTATAATAGCTCGAGTTTTCGCGACAAACTAATTTTCGACATCTCATAGAGCCTTTGATAAAAAAGATCTCGTCTTTCAATGCTAGACAGTAGTATAGGCTCTGTAATTAACATTTTCTCAACAACTCAAGTTGTTCGGAGATGCCACGTGTATGTATTTCAACCACTTCCTTACACTAAAAGGAATGAAATCTGCACATATTTATCATACTCTGTTTTTAAATCAACGATTACTATTTGGGGTCGTGGAAATTCAAATGCACTACAACATGGCCAATTAGGTTTTTGATAATAGTCATAAATCATTTGGTCTCAATAACTCGACTTGTTGGTAAAGTCTCATATATGGATGTTCACCCATAAAAAAATTAGTTTGTATCACATCGATTAACTACAAGAATTTCAATGAATTTATAAGGCCAGCTCAACATTATTAATTAAAAGAGCTAGCTAGACCTTGTTGGGTTGGGTTTTTGGGCCTAAGTGGCCAAACCCTTCTTCCTTGTATGATGGATGACCCGTCTCCTTGGCCACCATAGCCGGACGATGCCTCCAGTCCTTGGTATGAAATTTGACTCCCAAAAACAAGTATGGAACAAGGCGGCACAACAGGGTGCCAAGCGACTGGGTACCAAGCCGGGTACCAAATAGGGGGCCATCCAAAAACTAAGTCTGGAAACAATGTGGCACAACGGTGTGCCAAACGAATGGGTAACAAGTAGAGGGCCATCCAAAAACTAAGTACGGAAACAAGGCGACACAACGATGTGCCAAACGACCGGGTACCAAATAGGGGGTCATCCAAAAACTAAGTCTGAAAACAAAGCAACAAAAGACATGAAAATTGGCTAAGTATGGAGCCAACAGAGTACCAAGTCGGCGAGATAGGCTTGGTAGCTAGGCAACAGGGTACAAAGACTCCAAACGGGTAAATTTAGCTAAGTATGGAATCTCATGGTCACGGGGCCATACGACACGATGTCATACCACCCATAGAAAGAGGGCAAACGACAAGGTATTAAGACGAAAGAGGGTTGGTAGCAAGGGTATCAAGCCGACAAGATTGGCTTGATACCAAGATGACAAGTTGGTGCCATGACAGTCTCTCTAAGACTAAGTGTGGAGACTTGGGGGTAAATGGGTCAAGTTCTCATCCTGTCTAGGTGGGTAATATGGCCTGGCTATCAAGACATTTCATCGAGGTGGCTAGCAAGATGAGGAGCGTGGAGTCGTCAGGGCTGTCGATGATGTGATTAAGACTTCATCATAAAGGCTAAGGCAAAGAGGCTCAACCTTATCCAATCATGACAGGGCGACAAGGCTCAACACCAAACCGATCCGACATTGAGACTATCAAATACCCACCAACCCCAGACGGGATAAGGGCCACCAAGGTGACGGTTACCAACTAGTCACAAGGCGACGACAAGAGGCCCCGAGGAGGTTTGGAGCAAGAGGCCAACTAGTAGTTACCAAGGCGGTTACCAAGACAGTTACACCTAGTGACTATAAATTGGAGAAACTAAGATTGTAAACGGGTTGCACAACCAACCATTTGACACACTATGTCAAACTTTATCTTTTTCTCTGCAAATTAGCCATAGCTTTTAGTTTCCGGAGCTCTCACTGAACCTCCATAGGAGTAGGAGTAATTTAACATAGTTTACTCCCAAAAAATCATCAAAAACATCAAACACCCTCGTTCACACATTGTTCGGAGAGGTGTGAACCGTGTTTCGAATCGTTGTTTAAGAAGTCAAATGTGCATTTATTGTAATCAAACACCAGAGTTTTCCTCGCCGGAAAACAATGGATCTTTAACCTCTTTCTTACAATGATACGATGAGCATGTTTAAATTTCAAACTCATAAGTTGACTATCGTGTAAAATTGCATAAAAGAAATTCTCCTAAGAAACCGAAGTTATTGGGGGTAGGAAATGTACCCATATCTTTGTTAATGAAAGGGCACAATGATTCTTTTTTTAAAGCTCATTATGCACCATTATTATTTGTTAGCATCTAATTATGCGTTTCCCCCTAGAATACCATTCTGCCGGCTATATTCCAGCAGAAGTAAGACTTGTTTTAGACTTTTAGTTGTGTCCAGTTTCTATGAAATTTCTTCCTTTCGATGATAAACATGACTGTTGCTGCCTGTTTTATATAAACTTATTCGTTTTTTTTAACGAGCAGTGTATTCTTTTGGCAGCTTCCAAAGAAATAGTTTTTGTCCGCAATTTTTTCTTCATTTAATTATGTTCTGGATTACTTTTACATATTAACTTACACATGCATGCCTAGCATTTAACCATCAAAGCACGAGGCGATGAGCGACTAGGGATGGCAATGGGGCGGGTTTGGGGCGGGTTTGTCTAAACCATCCTCATCCCCATCTTCAAATACCCAAACCCATACCCGCCTCATACTCATGCGGGGAATGTTTTGCAAACCCATCCCCATACCCGTGGGTTTCGGGTACCCATGGGTAATACCCGTACCCATACATCCAACATTATTATATCTAAAATTTACAAGAAAATGTTTAATTATTACTCTAAACGAACCTATTATATCATGAAGTCAACAAAACACGATCATTTTCTTAATTAGGTTCAAAGTATATGATCCTAAAACATCCATTAATACATAATATAGAGTATAATATTTTTTAAATTATTATCTTCTAGCTCTTATACATCTACTAAGTAATAATTAACTAACATAATCTTGTAGACAAGGGGAAAAGTGAAAGAGTGAAAGGAGAATTGAGGGAAATGAATTAGATTTTGATTAAAATGGTCACTCAATTGCATTTCTACTATTTATTTCCTTGAGTTATCCTCATCACCATTACAATTTAATCCA